AAAAAAAAAAAAAAAAAGAATTTGCTTTTAAACGTCAGACTGAGAGGCACTATTTGAACTTCCAAGTAACTTCACTTCCATATCTCCAGGGGAGCAGGAAAAATCAAGCCATTGGAAGGAAAACCCACGTATGTTCACAGAGCTACCGCAGCAGGGCCCTGTCTCCAGCCAGCTTAAGTCCTACAGTTCCTTTTCACGGGATGCTCTCAAATGCCGCAGTAAAAAGTCTAGCCCCCTCATCAAATGCTTTTTTAAAAATTTTTTGAGGAACACCTGACACAGTAAACATTCTCTCTACTCAGGTTGACCATGTCTGCAGAGGGCAATGAGCAAGTCAGAGGAAAGACATTTTTATAAAAGCCTCGTTCAGCGAATCAGCCTCAGGTTTGTTTCTCTCTGTACAGCTTTCAAAGATGGGAGTTTTCAAGCCAGAGGGAAACCAACTGCCAAAGGCTGAGTAGAATCTTTGGCCCTGTGGCTGCAAAGAGAGAGTAAAGTGTATTTCTCAGGAACTTTGTGTGCTGAGAAAACAATGCTATGCATGCAACAAGCACAGAGAAAACAGTATTAAAAAAAAAAAGAAAGAAAGAAAGAAAAAAAAACCCAGTTCTTAGTTAGCTGTTGGTAGCAACCTCTCCCTGTGCTGCTTGAGTTTTCTGCAGGCAAGATGAAATTCCCATGGCATTCCCTGCTCCTCCACCATGGGAAGACCAAATTACTCATAGAGAACTCCAGTCTTCCCAACTGTCCAGGCCAGGGAATGGGGTGTGTGGCAGACAGCAGCACCTGGCTAGTCTTTCTGTGCTGAACCCTTCTCCCAACCCCACCAAAGCCACACTCACCAATAGGCATGGGGTGGTCCTGGCTCCTACCTCCAGGGTTAGGAGGGTTTGCTAATGCCAGGCTATGCCCAACTTGCCACGCCTTATCCCTGTCCCTCTGTTCCCACTGGCCAGAGCACACACATCCCTCAATGCTCCTCTCCAGCTCCTGGACTGACTGTCTGCCCCCTACTAAAGAGAAGCCCACATCAGCCCTCACTCCCACCACCCACTCGCAATCCCCCTGCCCCACTGTGCATCTGCCTGCAGCCAGGATGTCCAGGACTCCACCCAGGCACAGAGGAGTCACTCAACCCTGTCATTGCCTTAAGGACCAAAGCCAGGTAGTCTCCACTGGCAGTCCCCAGCCCCCACGCCTCAGCATGTGGACCCATGCCCCTCCTCAGCTCTCCCTAGGAAGCCTCCCGTGCCCAGACTGTGAGTTCGGAACAGGGTTGTGCTGGGTGTCAGCCCCTCCTGAAAGCAGCCAGCCCCATCTCCTGGGGCTCCTCCACTCTGGAATCTCTGTCTCTTCTCTGACCCCCTCCTCATGAAGCTAAGGGACAAAAAGTGAGAATAAGCTGCTGAAACGATAACCTTGGCAGATTGGGGGTCAGATATTTCTGGTTCCACAGGATTTACTTTTACTGTGTTTACTGTATTTGCTCCGTTGAGTTCTTGGTTTCCAGGCTACTTTCAGCCTGAGTTCCAGCTTATGGTCCAGGCAGTGCTGAAGATTAGGCCTGGCTGCACACCTAGTGTCCAGCCCTCTCTCAAGATGCAGATGGGGAGAGCACCTCCAGGGCACGTCCAGGGAGGGGCACGGCCACATTCTGGAAAACACCCCATCAGCACCCTGATTGCTCTCACTGGCTCTCTCTATCCAGGCACCAACTCTGCCCTCTGAGTGCTGCTAGTCTGACTGCAGATGCCAGCGATGACCAGAGTCCAGAGACCTAGCACCTGCACGCTGGTAGCTGCCAGCTGGTTGGGGAGGAGGCCAGCAGGACTTGATTGCAAGTCCATTCAATGCTACCCCAACACATTCGTTTCCCACTCCTCCTCCAGCACAGACCACAGCCCCCTGGACTACCCCAGGCCACATCAAGATCAAGAAGAAGGGTAAGAGTGACCAGCCCATGTGACCTCCCTTCCTAGCTGCAGAAGCCAGGGATTCCCCACCTACATGTGCCACTACTGCCTCAGCGGAACTTTGGGGAGCAAGGAGAGGAGTTAGGTGTCAGCCACCAGAGGTGACCAGAGTGGCCAGCCATGCCTGGGTGGAGGTTGCCATGTCACCTCACCATGCCAATGTGCCCTCCCCTAGGGACTCCAGCAGCCATCTCTCTACCTCAACCCTTCTCCCACACCTGCGGAGCTGAAGAGGACACACCTGGGGTTACCAGAGTGACCACTGGCCCTTTCCCAGGGCAAAGTGATTCTGAGGCAGAGGAGGGTTAAAAGTGGATCCCTGAGCCGTGAGGACACACCACCAAAGGATGGGCAGACTCCGCCCCCGGGGTGGGAAGTGCAGGCTGGCGGCTGAAGGGCCAAGAGGTCCCTCACAGGGGTCCCTATGAGTGAAGGGAAGGCAAACTTCCAGGTGGGACTGAAGCCAAAGTAGCAGGAAAGGAGGGGAGGCAGGGAGTTTGGGGTCCCGCTGGAGCTCCGTGGGGAGCGCAGTTTGGGGATGAACCCGCAGGCACACAGATGGGGGGTGGGCAGGAAGCCATGGGCCACACTACGGATTTTGGGTAAAGGGTAACCCTGGAATCGAGAGTCCTAGAACAGGACACCGAGCAGATCTGGAAGTCCCAGAGCCTGCGGAGGCGCCACCCGCGAGGTCCCGACTAGACTAGAAGGGGTGGATCGTTGAGCCAGAAATCCCAGTACCCGACCCTCAGGGGAGCCAGCAGAGTCTGGGGCGACCGAGGCAACACGAGCTGGGGTGATCCTCGAGGACCTGGAAGCGCCCCGAGGTGGCAGAGCTCGTGAAGCCTCTGGGGACCTCCCTATTAACCGTGATCTAGAGGCCAGCTGGGCAGCCTGCGAGGTGGCTCAGAATCCGAAAATCTGTGGAAATGTCCCCAGAGGTGAGAGAGCCTCACATTACATATCTGAGAACCTCTCCCCCCAGTAACCAGTGACTGGAAAGCAGGAGGGGCGCCGCTGAGATGACCCGCGTCCCCAAGTCACCAAAAAGGCCCAGGAGAACCACGGTGCGGTCCGAAAGTGGGAGACTGCGGCAGCCCCCCTGGGGTGTCCCGAGGTGTCCCAGGCAGGGGTCACGGGAGCGCAAGGAGGTCACTTACGCTGCTGTTCTCGCCCGTCCAGTGCACCATCGCCTGGTTGTGTGTCGCGTCCCCCTTGAGCACGAACGACGTGCTGATGAGCGAGACCTGCGCCCGCGAAGCCACTGGTGCCGCCCGCGTCCAGCGCCCCTTGCCCGTGGCACGGGCGCCGTCCTCTTCGGGACCCAGAGCGGGACCCAGGGCTCCGGGCTCCTCGTCGCGCGCCTGCGGGTCCTCGCCGCCGCCAGGCTCCGCGCACCCCACGGGCGGGCTGCGTGG